AGCTAGTCCTAGTCCAGCTCTGGCCAGCAGTGATCAGTCCTTCACTCCAGAGCCACAGGAGATGATGAGGGAGATGTGGCTATCATCCCGTGACAATGTCAACCTTCTCTTTGAGATATGTCATCAAGTATGCCCATGTACTTGTACACAAAGAGGCCTCCTTCCAAAAAGGGGGATGTGACTATTTTATTAGAATTTAGTTAACATTGTGAAATTACTTAATAGACTTTTAGCTTTCATTCTGCAAAGTTTAAAAGCAAGCTTGTGGGCTTTTTCTCATGATTGGTGGAATAGAAGAGATTTGATTTTTTATTTTTAAACTATAGCTGTTTTCTCAAAATGTTTTATTCTCCTTTTTAGAGGAGTTTCCCCTTTTTATTGATTAATTGTGGGTTTGGTTAGTGGGTGGAGCATGTATTAATTAATTATTTGCTATTTTCAAATACATCGTAGGCTTTTCATCTGCCATTGTCTCATCCAGGTGTTGTTAATAAACTAACTGAATTATATTCATCATGGGTGCAGGTAATTGATAGCAATAATAAATGCACAACGTATTGTTATTATTATTATTATTTATTAATTATTTTTAAATACCATAGAAGTGGAATATTTTACTGCCTTTATTATTTAATTTTTATAGTAAATTTTTACATTAAAAAAAATTTTGGTTTAATCAATCATAATTATTATTAATTGCCATTAATTAATTGACATTTCTCTCTCTCTCAAGGATTCCAATAAGCCGTTGTTTATGGAGGCTCCTGCCCCTCCCATCATCGTATCATCACTTCCTGTCAGTCCAAGTCCAGCCCCTCCCCCCGCCCCCTCACTCTCAGTCCTCCCGTGGGAGGCCATCAGTGGGTACAGTAAATTTGACAGGTGAGAGACTGATGAACTGATTATTCGTTGATGAGTAGAAATACATGTACATGTACCGTATTTCCTTGAATGGGGGCCTTACTCAAATAAATGCCTATCACTAATATTATTATCATTATAGATACATGTATGTATCATTTAGCCAGTGTGCCTCTGTTTAGAGTGGCCTAAATAACTTAATTGTTTATTTTCAGTCTTCACAGCATAAGGTGGCTGTTTTTGAACTCACTTTTTGATTTAATTTTTTGTGATTTTTTTCCTCTGTTAAGGAATAAACGTCTAGACCCTTATTTGAGGAAATACATGCATGAATACAAGCATGGGGGGGATCTACAATACAGAATACATGTACATGTACTTAAGAATAAATTGTACATATATGTACATTTGTACTGTCCCATGCATGTACATGTGTATATGTTACATATAACAGTTAGTGGAGATTGTGGTTCAACTGTTTGTGCTTTTTAAAGGTTATAGGGGTTTCCCCCATTCAAAAATTTCCGATGTGTGGATAGGTCAGTGATGTAGTGATGCCTACAATTAATGAAATTCTACTCATCCTATTTATACTGGTTTTATCTCACCAGGCTCTAGTGGGTCAGACATCACACATCAGGGTGTTAATTGTGTTAATTAGGTTCATTGCCCAGCTGTGGTCCATTGACCCCTCCCCTAAGCCCCCCCCCTGTTCTACTCTATTGAAATGAGCTTCATTAAGACCACCCTACAACATGAAACTTGTTTCATGAAACATCTTTTATATTTTCAACTTTAATGAAACATGTTTCAAGCTCCATTGAATCCTGTATTTTTTTTTAATGTTTCATGAAACAAGTTTCATGGTATATGATAGCCTTTATAGTAATGTCACCATATATACTTGTTCATAATGTACAGTGCACAGGAATTATTATTACTATTATTATTATTATTATTATAGAACAGACAACAAATGTAAAAATATAAAATAGAATACATGTAGGTTAAGTAATTTTATATAGAGAAGGAGAGTAGGAGAAAAATATGATAATAATAATAATAATAATAACTATAAAATAAAATTCTTTAGTTCTCCAAAATTTATTATTATTATTATTATTATTATTATTATTATTATTATTATTGCAGATCTGATGTGAGAGCTGGTCTCCAGTCCTCCTTAAAGATGTTCATAGCGCACACAAGTCAACTCTTCTTACACCAGCAGTCTGGTAGCAACGGGCATCAATTAGAGATACAGGTGGACAGCGGTCGTAGGATATTGAAGTTATACCAAGAGATCGTGCAACAATGGACACTGGACGGGGAAACGTGGTTGTACTTATTGTCAGTATTGCTACATTTAACGATAACATTATTGTATGATGAGTCATCCCCTCCTCCTGAGAACAGAGACACTAGTCTAGGAGGAAGCATAGCTGACCAGCTGCTGCAAGTAATGGAGATCAGTTTCTAGTTATTTCCCTCTCTCTCTCTCTCTCTCTCTCTCTCTCTTTCATCTTTCCCTCTCTTTATCTCTTTGTACCTGTATCTGTACATGTACCTGTACATGTACATGTACATGTACCTGTACAGGTACATGTAGGTATATTTCAATCTTTCTCCATCATTAATTTTCTTCTCTCTCTCTCTCTCTCTCCCTCCCCCCCTCTCTCTCTCTCCCTCCCCCCCTCTCTTTCTCTCTCCCTCCCCCTCTCTCTCTCTCTCTCCCTCCCCCCCTCTCTCTCTCTCTCCTTTCATTTCACTCTTACTCCATTTTATGTATTTACACAATCTTTATCTTTCTTTTTTCTCTCTCTCTCTCTCCCTC